GACCATACCAAACGTTAGCAGTAATGAAGGCAAAGAAATGTATGCCTGTCTAACAACTGATTAAGTACAAAGATGTTTAGATGAATAAACATTGCTTTAATAGACTCCAATCCTTTGTGTCATTGAATATGTTTCTTGTTGTTTTATAAACTTAGGATAGATGATTGAGGGGGACTTCCAAATGACGAAATTGGAAAAAATGTAATGTCAATAGGAGTAGACTACGCCTAGAAGACTACGTCTAGGCACATGGTTTTGTATCTTTATTTTGATCTTTATATTTACGGCCAGTTGCTAGATCTAAAGACGTAAGTTCAACAGTACGTATCAGGTTACTTGGGCTCCCGTGCGCCATTTATGTGCAGCCAGTCTCAACGCTAAATCTTTCTTAAAAGTAATAAATAGTTTCACAGAGACTGTCTTGTAAAAATGAAATAAATTCCGCACAGAATTCGAAGATACCACATTACTCTCAAGCGCGTTGAATGCTCATTCTAGAAACAGCTGATTCAAATCGGCCCCACATTCCCAGAAAATCCTGTTTTTTTTTCTCTATTTCATAAAAGTAAAAATAGGGATTTGATTAGGACAGTTTTTAATGCCTAAGCTCAAGTGTTAGTAAGGTCGAAAAAGAAACGAAAAAACACACTCGACTCAGACCAACGTTTTTGTCTTGTCGTCACGACAATTAAATACCTTAGATAAGCTGAATTGGTTTTTGTTGCGATTGAAATATGGTGTTTGTACGCATGTCATGCCACGTGGATAGAGGGAGTGGTTAATAGACCGATCCTGATCAAACGCATGGAACCCCCTGTTCTATTTCGAACACCTCAGGCAAAATCACCGCGGGAAATCTAAGAGCAGCAAAATGAGTTGATGTCTGCTTGATAAAGACTTCTTATTTTACCGGTGAAACTGAACGTTGTGGCATTGGAGACAATTTCAAGTCAATCAAAGACGTATTTGTATTTGTTTACTAAAGCTATTATCATTATTATGTCCCTGTTTGCGAGCTTATGTTTCTACTTGTATCACAAAGCCCTATATACTCGTATAAGTTGCTCCCTCCCTCGTGAGCACCTGAGCTGTTTTACTCTAATTGTGTTGTTTTTCTCCTGGGCTTGCAGTTGAAAACCTGTCACAGATTAAAATACTCAACAATTGTCTCAAAATTGTCTCAACATACTCAATATTGGCCTGATTAAACCGCTTTACGGTTGCCGGCCGCCCAACAACCAGCCGCCCCCTTGCGGGAAGGGGCCACTAAAGCCGCGGACGGCAGAGTTTGCGTTACACAGTCTAACTCAATATTGTCCTTCAATAATGATGGCGTGACCCTTTTTGGGGGCTGCTTATAGAGGCTGCCGAAAACTCGAAAGTTGGACAGCAAAACCGACACTCTGTTGGCGGCGGCCTGCGAAGCCCTTCCCGCGCTGATTTTGCCCGATCGAGGTGTTCGAGTTACTATGACGTTGCAAAGGGGTCGTGGCTTCGGGATATCGGTCTATTTGACCACCTTGTAATCTTAAACCTGCTAAAGTGTAATCAGTTTTTTTTTCTTTGCATATCTTGCTTATTGCTGGAATTTCGCAGCTGGGGAGGATTCCTTTCTTTTTGTTTTGTTGAAAAAATACTTGTATGCTTCTTTTTCATGCTGGGTAGAGCTCTTGAAATGATGTTTAATAATGTCGTTTTGTTTTGGTGGTGTAAATGGGATCAGAAGTCATTCCAGTCTTGTTTTTATTGATACGTTGACTTTCTGCCGATAGAAAAGTAAGAATTTGTTTGCGAAATGGACAATTTGGAGGTCAAGCTACTCGTACCCTGTCAATGTGCGTTTTTAATAGTTGAACACTCAAGTAGGTAAATTTTGACAGCTTATTTTTTTAGATGTTTACCATGTATTTCAAAATGTCGTCTGTTGCGTGAAGATAGGAAGACATCGCCGTGCATTTGGTACATCAGTGTCCATGCCACACACAACTATTGACAAACATGGAGATATAACGGAACATTCAAACATGCTAAAGCACACACGCACGGACAAACACCTACGGACAGCATGTTACTAGGTCCAGTCTTCGCTGTGCTCCTCAGTGCGGCGCTGTGCGGTGCAGGGACTAAAATCTTCCGTAACGCGGGTTTTGAGTCCCCGCTGGGCCCGGATAACTGCCTATTCACGTGTTCTATCTACATAACTTGCGGTTAGCACCCCGGCAGAACGTACTGCGCCTGCGCACCCCCCCATTTTTCACGATTTTCGTTGGATTTTCGGTCAACGTTGCATCAGAATTTTGCTTGTTGCATATTGCAAGCGATATTTTTTCCGACATAACATTTCAAAACTACAGACGGGCTAGCCGGCTATTAACCTTATACGCGCCAATACGACCTTATATGAGATGTTCTGCCGGAGTGCTAAGCACAATATTAATACATTACGGGTTTCGCGCTAGTGCAGTACTTTCTGCCGGCGTGCTCGTGGGGTTACAGAAGCGGTAGATTGCTCACTCCTTATTTGTAAGACCCCCATTCCACTTAGTGGCGCTCTCACGGCGCTCTCTCTGCGACCTGAAATTGGCCAGAGCGCGGAGAGAGCGCCAAGGTCGCCATGGGAGCGTGATGAGAGCTCCATGGGAGCGTGATGAGAGCTCCATGGGAGCGTGATGAGAGCTCCATGGGAGCGCGATGAGAGCTCCATGGGAGCGTGATGAGAGCTCCATGGGAGCGTGATGAGAGCTCCATGGGAGCGTGATGAGAGCTCCATGGGAGCGCGATGAGAGCTCCATGGAAGCGCGATGGTAGCGCGATGAGAGCGCAATGAGAGCTCCATGGGAGCGCGATGAGAGCTCCATGGGAGCACGATGAGAGTTCCATGGGAGCGCGATGAGAGCGCCATGGGAGCGCGATGAGAGCGCAATGAGAGTTCCATGAAAGCGACATGGGCGCCATGAGCACCGTCATCTCGGCAATGGTATGAAACCGGGTCATACGAGTACCATCGCCGTGAGAGCGCCGAGGACGGCGACGACGAGCGCCGTGAGAGCGCGAAGAGAGCGCGGCGAACGCCGTGAGAGCGCGAAGCGAGCGCCACGAGAGCGCGCAACGGCCCAAACATTAATTTAGACAGAAAACACGCCAACCTCGGAGCTTTCAAGGTGCTCTCTCCACGTTGGTGCTCATGGTGCTCTCATGGCGCTCTCATGTCGCTCTCATGGCGCTCTCATGGCGCTCCCATGGCGCTCCCATGGCGACCCTGGCTCTCTCTTCGCGCTCTTTTTCAGGTCGCAGAGACAGTGCCGTCTGAGGTGGAATGGGGGTACCTTTGTTCAGGGATCTCGTAATCACATATCGCTTGTGCCCCATTTTCACTACACGGCGTTTGCCCGGAGGCCCCCATTCCACTAGCATGGCGCTGTCACCGCGCTTTCTCTGGCAGGAGCGCAGAGAGAGCGCATAGAGATCGCCGAGGTCGCCATGCGAGCACACAGGGAGCGCACTGAGAGCGCCATGAGCGCCGTCACCTCGGTGACTGTTTTGGCCCGCTTACACAGTCGCCATGAGAGCGCCGTGGATGGCGATCCAACAATGACCACAGGCACAGAGGGAGTGAGAGCGTGCATGCAGCGAGCGCCTTGAGAGCTCACAACGGTCTCTACAGTAATCTGTATTTCAAACATGGCGACCTCAGCGGTATCTCCGGTGAGAGCGCCGTCCTAGTGCAATGGGGGCCTTACATCCTTGATTTCATAATTTGAATATGATGCAGGATGTACAGGATTGACTTTAAAAACAATAGGACACATAAAACGTTAAAAAAAATTCGTTTTAAGAAATTCCCTTATTTTCATAATTTGTTGAGTGATCTGAGAAATCTTTGGTCACCCATAAAAGTTGCTGATATTTGAGTTTTTGAAAGCGCAGAAAGGTCGCAGGGGAGATTCCACTTGAGTTCGGCGCTCTGGTCAATTTCAGATCATAGAGAGCGGGGCTGCGGTGATAGCAATGAAAATTTAATTTCTGTCATGTGATATATTTTTGGAGTGTGGTGCACAATGTAGCAGTATGAGTTAAAAGTAAGACGTAAAAAATGATTGTCTATGAAATTTGTTGACCCAAATCGCAAGCCGCTTTCAGTATGTTGTTGCTATAAAGTATTAGCTCGGTGAGCATCTTTACAGACTTTAAAGACATATATATTGTTGCCTTCTGCCAGTATGCTACGCCCAAGAAACTCTCTATTACGTTGAATTACGTTGTTCCAGATTCTAAAAGCATCGAATAGTTTACCAGGTTACTCCAAGACATATCAGACCTCAATGTGTCAGGACGTCACAGGTTCACAACCTGTCGTTATAACCAATGTCTTCATATAGAAAGTTATGTGTCAACATCTACGCCCCCGCCCACAGTAAGTAGGGCAATCAAATGTTTGAGGGAAAACAAACCGGAAGCTAGAATAGCATGCCTCAGAAGTGCTTTGAACCTATTTGTGTCTTGACCTTATTCCGTCTATTACATAATTCAGTCACAATTTATTTGCACACATTACATATTGTCGTCACTTTTATTAATCTTAATAAAAGGTCTTAACTTGAGAAAATACAAACTTGCTTCCTGCCTGTCGCAGCGTGGAAACAAAATTATTTGCTACCGTTGGGCAAACCCCCTTCACTCCCGCCAGAAATGTTTTGAGAGCTGGGTTAGGAAGAGCTGATATACGGACTGCATTCCATGTGACTATTGATGTTTTTCTTTAGCCTTGCTCTATCAGTACCAGCCTGATACTAATCACCCTATTTAGTAACTTTTGGCTGCAGTAAGAAAGGAATAATAAGTCCAACGCAGCATTCCACACTGGTGCCTACCAGGGGTCATATATGGGTCAACGTCTGCACAGAATTTCTGTTGGTTCATTTTGGTATTGGCATGGCATGCCCATATAAGGCATTGCCGTGACGTTCCTTGCCTCCGTGTGTAAACCAGCTGATGTTTCTGGTTGGATGTGGAAGATGTGATCAACGGGGAATGTTTACGTGGAGGATCTTAAAATGAGGAACCATCCGAGAACCGGAGCAGTAAAATACAACAGTGCGCCAAAGCCTATCTCTTACATCAGAAGCTACTGTTGGGTCGAATCAAACCACAATGGCTCAAGCGAAACTAAGCGAGATGATAAGGCCCTCTCTAGTCGATAGAGGCGACGTCGGCAGTTTATCTGGGCCCGAATCTTTCAAGGCAAGAGCACGCGTGATCAGAGCGGGAAATGTGATAACATCGCTGGGTGGGCCGGACGGCGTCGCGCGCATGGTCGTCGCCCGCAAAGCCCGGTCCCAGGAGAAGGAGGAACTGACCGTCCTGAACAACCGCTTCGCCTCCTACATCCAGAAGATGCGCTTCCTCCAGCAGCGTAATCGCGCGCTGGAGGCGCAGATCCTTCAACTACAATCGACTGAGATGTCCGCAGACACGAAGACGTTATACGAGAAGGAAACTCGCGACCTGCGTACGCTTGTCGACGAGCTTTCCGATGACAAAGCCAGAATGGCACTGGAGAGGGATCAATGGAAGGAACGGGCCGAGGAATACAAAAGAAAGTAAGTAGGAGGCGAAGCCTGTCGTTTTTGTCAGGAACCAGCTCCATTATATTGTAACAGTTATCATGCAAGCGTCTCATTGGAATAAATTAAATCGAGTGGCAGGATATGAATGTTTTAAAAGCTAAATACTACCTGTACAGCTAAAGGTATTCCTCTTCACTGGTTCTAAATGTTGATTCTTTTCTTTGCTGCCAGGTGGGAGGAAGAGTCAGCCTGGCACGCTGAGCTGAATACTGAGGTTGCAAAGCTCAACAAAGTAAGTCTTCTTTTGTGCGTCTCGGTTCGATCATTGTTAGCTGTCGATTTGTATTACATTAACTAACTTAGGCGTTCACCATTGATGCAATTATCTTGTTGTACCATATTCCCAATGCTTCTGGTGAAATCAGTTGATACCGGTTTAACCTACACTACAACTTTTCTCCAGAACTTGAATGCTGTAACGCTGATACGTGTGGACCTGCAGAGTAAGATTGCTTCAATGAAGGAAGAGATTGATTTCATGGTGACGGTTCACAAACAGGTGCGTTTCCTGTTTCGTGGCCGCTCTATATGCCTTCATTTCATAATGTCAGCTTTGCGTACGACCACAACGTTAACGAGCTACCAACAGACTCGCCAGACCCGTCAAGCATTCATTGTTTAGTACACATAATTCAACACATAAATAACGACCGCAATATGTCTCAGCTATATAAAAGGTTTGGATATTTTACTTAAGCGTTACGAAAACTGAAAGACCGAAGTCTCCTTGTATCCCATTTGCAGGAACTGAAGCAACTCCAAGACCAGTTGAACCAGAGCCTGTCCATTGTTGCTGTAGATGAGATTCCCGAAGCTGGACCAGATGTCATCAGTGAGCTGTACGAGCTGCGGCAGCTGTATGAAGACTTCTGCCGGGATGTCAGGGCCAGGTGCGAGGAGAAAGTAAGGCTGTGATGAATCCATTTAGATACAGTGTTGACAGTATTTGACACACATAATTACACCTTTATTACTAGAACTGAGACCCTGACAACATATCGCTTAGATGCTTCTGGTCATTTGATCTAATGAAGCAAAACAACGGGATTCATAGTCAGTATGTGGCGGTTTTGTTGGTATTGAAAATGTGCCGGTAATTACATAGTAGTAGCAACTAGCGTGTCAATACAAAATATTGTGTGTTTTTTCCCAGTTCACCGGGCTTGAGCTCGAGCGCGAGCGGGACAGCAAGACGATGCTGGCCGCCAGAGGTGCGCTCATCACCTCCCGTAAAGAGGTGTCCGAGCTTCGAGGGCAGCTCAACACCGTTATGACTGAGACTGTGACTGAAACAGTGACGCGTGAGGTCAGTTTACAAATGCAAAGCACCAATTTGTAGGAGAGATCTTTTATACAGCAAGTCTCAGTGAAGGAAGTGGTCGTCTTTTTTCTTAATTACACCAAGTCTGTGCAACTTGTGATGCCAATTGATATCTTACAAGGACACTGTTTAGATCTTAATGTACCAAAGCCTTAATGGTCCTCCATGTTTGGAAGATATAGTTGTAAATTTTATCAATGAAAAAAATGACGATTTCAATGGCTCCTATTCGCAGAGCTCATCTTCTTCATCAACTGAACTCCAACAAATGAGGATAACCTCCGAGACAGAGCTGGACATGTAACCTGTACATGTTGATGACCAACGCTACTATAACACACCGGGAAGGTCAGTAAATGTACCAACGACAAATGCATTCTTGTTTTGGAGTGTCTAAGAGTGCATGGAATACATTTGTATAGTTTCCACCAAGGATACATGCAGTACCGTAGCCTATACCATAAACGAAATGATCACTTTCATAACCTCATCAATCAATCATACATGTCTACTATGTCTCATTGTTTAAACTGTTTAATCAACATGCTTCTTGACATGTATCGTCACGCAGGTCATCCTGTTGAAACAGCAAGACAGCAGGAAGTTTACCTTGCGTGTTTAATCCGACCGCTGAGAGTTGGGGATGAAAGAACATCAACGTATTGCTAATGCTAATTAAACTTCATAGTTTATAGCACTTCATAGTTAGTATACTAGAAAACATTATACTGAACAACTATATCAAGAGTATTCCGATGGAACGAAAACGTATACGACGTTGTAATTCTATAATTCTATATTTGCTTCGATAGCTTCGTTACACAGTTATCTGTAGTTCCCATGCCTGTTATTATGCGATTGGTTTTCTGAATTGTTTCTGAAGATGAATAAAGATATTAAAGCGTTTCTACGTGGTTTCTTGGTTGTTTTAGAGGTTCTAGACAAAAGTAGCAGACAAAAAAGCTTGCCATTAATGACACATGAAATGACGCATCTAAATACCATTAGTAATCAAATACCTACCCTTATCAGGCCACTCAGTGGAACAATAGCATCAAAGATAACAGTCAAGATAGACACAAATACAAATATTCCCCTCATTGGCCACCGAAGACGCCGTCTAATGGCAGATGGGTCGAGCTAGATCTTATGAAAACGTCATTGGCAAAATTCACGCCCACGTATTTGATGGGTACAATAATTTAAATAGGTAGCTTTGTTTGAATCCTTCAAAGCATGTCTACGTATCGTATAACTGTACGGTTATGGGCCTGAGGCAAATAAACAAATAGACAATTTATGCACGAACAATTTGATTGTGTGTGCATGAATTCAGAACTTAAAAGTCACATAACTCACATATCACTAGTTATCTGATGGAAAATTGTTTCACTTTGTCAACATATTTTTATTAAAGTTGAACGCCCTGTAGTCAACATCAGAGGGGTACATTTTCTACATTTCGTAGTGAACCCGGGAGTAATTAACGACTTCAAACAAACATAAGATATATTTCTAAATCTGACGGAGTGTTCTAAAGTCAGCAAACTTGAAGCCAGAACAGTGCCTCTTTAAAAAACAGGCAAATGTTCAACTGAAGTTCCATAGTTGTACATGAATATAAAACTATAACCCGTTTTAAAGTTTAAAATGGTGTAATGGAAATACTGATTCTTTGTACATGGGCTGTGTAACTTGGTAATTGACCAATTTAGTTGGCCTTCCTTCTTTAGCCAAAGCATACACATCTTAAACAAAAACGTAGAACTAGAAATTTGACTGAAAGGCATACATACAATTTGTTTTCATTTATTTTTGAAACATTGCGTAAATTTCATACTTTACATTCCTAGCAATCATGACCAGTTCACAAATTCAAAGACTGCATCTACTATAGACATCAAACATTTACCTACCCTACATACTACGGTATTGGCACCTCAAAGAGGGTACCGCAAAAACAGGAACTTAAAATATCCATGTTACTACCCATCCCTCACAAATGATAGAAAATGATTAGTTCAGGCTACGTGTCAAGTATAACTTTTATAGATGTTCCTGTACTTTTTCCCGAAGAATACCCCCTTACAGAAATGAATACCAAGTACCCTAATAAATGACTATGTTGTAGAGCAACTACTAAATCCTCGCGAACATAAATGAATTTAAAGTATCTGATCTGGTCACAAATTAAAATACGACCTCAGCTTCAACTTCAAATCCTAGCTCAGGCCAGAGTTAGAGGGATGCTGACAGGTGACAGCCATGAATCCGTCCTAAATACACTAGTAGACTAGAAGTAAACCTTCCCTATCTCATACGTTCATATATGGATGGCTGACGCTGTTATTCACGTTTGATATTTGATTGGCCCACATAACTTGGCCCCGGAATGCCTGGTGGCTTCGTCAACACTTATACGCACAAGACCCCTTTAGTAGCCCTGCGCACAACAGCTGACCAATGGCATGCCTTCCAGACAAACTGATGGACAGGGAGTGATTTCACTAAAGAACTTAAACAGATCTTGGGGGCTTAAATGCCTTAACTGCAGGCTGGTATCCACCGCCTACGACTTCGTGGTAAGACAGTCCAGATTCTGGCAGTGAGTTCTCTTTTAAGTCTCTTCGAAACGCACAACAGGAAAACATGGCAAATCTCGTCGCAGAGATGAATGAGCTCTCCGTCCTCAACGGCCGCTTCGCCGCCTACACCGAAAGGGTGCACGCCCTGCAGGAGAGCAATGCCTCGCTGGAGGCCCAGATCCAGGCCGCCCAGGCCAGAGCCGTCCCCTGCAACCACGGGACGTACCAGGGGATGCTGGCGGCACTGCGGGCTCAGGTGGACAGCCTGTCGAATGGAAAGGCCCAGGTGGAGGTCGAGAGGAACAGCTGGCAGGCACAGGCCGAGGAGTGGCAGGGGAAGTACGTTATGTCATTGTTAAACACCTTTTCCAACTGCATTGTTTTCAAGCTTGCACTTCGTTCTCACATACGTTGGGGGAAGGATAATATCAAATTGACCAGCCCGTATCCAGTTGATCCCGGCACATGTAGGATCTGCCATTTATTTAGTTACTCACCAGGGAGAGCTTTTCTTTATTAAGTGGTCTTGTGGCACCCCCTTCAACGCAAACCTCTAAAACATCGTGTCAGAGTGATTAGATAGTATAAGTTTGAAGCCTTCTATGATAGATCCTTCTGGCGACCTACAAAATACGGCCATTTTGATAGTGTCTTGCTTGGAGATATTAACAACCTCCCTATTGCATTTACCAAGATGGTTAGATTTAACGTACTTTAACGTTTTCTTTCTGTTTATCTAAAAGGGCGTAATTTTGAAATACTTTTCGATTATAACTAAACGGTTGCTGGGATCAGAGGGTTTTCCTGTTTTGATACAGGGCCGAGTATGAGATGTCTGTGCGCCCCGGGCTGCAGGCTGAGATCGAGACGAACAGGGTGGTAAGTATACGTCTACGTCTACTGAGGTCACACGGTGATATTGCGTAGGAATCTGTTTATTTATTGACAAATGTCCCATTCCGGATAATTTGAAATATTTATACAGTTTTAGCAATACAACATTTAACTGAATACGATGGCGATTAACATAAATAAGAATGTCTGTGGTTTGGGTAAAAAAATTAAATGTCTACGAAACAACGTTAATCATCGTTTAAAACAACAAATAACGTTTTAGAAACTGCAAGCCATAACTGCAGCTCGAGTTGGCTTTGAGAGAAGGGCGACGGCCGCTCAGACAGAGATCAACGCCTTGAGGCAGAGCCACGCCGAGGTGAGCATATCTGTCACAGTCTGTGACACCAATGTGTCTCTTCCGTTAGCGTGTAACAATAAATTGTACCTCAAATTATTTCTATATCGTATTACACAGCTATACACAGATGACGTTTTTTTTTCAATGTTACATTCTGCGTTTTACCCTGCAACTATCCTTTGGGAGTTTACAGTAAAGTTTGTTTCATATCATCAATGTGTTATAGTTAGCTTTTGGCCTATTTTCCAGCAAGTAGCTGGCCTACGGGAAGAGTTGGCTGCAACTGTGACTAGGGTGGAGTCTCTGCAGTACGTGGTGACGGGCCCAGACCTGAGCGACACCCTGAGGGAGATCCGTGAACAGTACGAGGCCATGAGCCAGGCGAACAGGCAGGATGCTGAGGCCAAGTACAGGCAGAGGGTAAGAAAAGATACGACATGCCCAGAATATTTGTGTAAAAATGAATCTCTTCTTGATGCATCAACGTAGTTGGAAACATACCAAGGTTAACCTTATTTTATAGGTTTAAAGAACATTTGGGACGATATGTAGATATGCAAGTTGTTATTCATTGTATCCGTAGTATTTATTGTATCCGTAGTTACTTATTGTACCCCAGTCGTCATTGTGAACCTCCCAATCTGTTGTGTGATACTAAAGGATAATTGTTATTATATAAATACAAGCTGCGTGATGCAACTATAGATAATTGGTCAAACGATGTCTTCATCACGCGCGTTGATTACATCCATCCTCTTTACTTCAATATAGTAAATGATTGGCTCAAACAATACAGGTTATTACTTGTGCTTGCTACAATGTAACAGTTTCTCTCTCTGACCTAAGTTTGCGGAGATTGCCCAACAACGGGAGGTAGCCAGCGAGGCTCTGGCAGCCACCAGGGCAGAAATTGCTGGATTCCACAAGCAAATCTACTCCCAAAGGGCCCAGGTTGAGTCTTGGAGGAGCAAGGTGAGAGTGTGAACATGCGTAAGAGCTTGCTTTCAGAGAGTGAATTTGATTCGTGGCTAACATTTGAATTAGCGAGGCCAAGGAAGGTAATAAGCAATATTATTCTAACACTAACACATACTGATTGGCATATCATTGCCAATTAAAGTGGGATGCTGTCGATTTAGGACTGCTATACAAATGCATTTGAATATTTTAGTTCCAGTTGAATTTTAACTTAAATTCTACCCCCTTCTGTCTACTGACGTTATTGCAGTGACAATTGAGCGTGACGCAGGCGTTACCTTATCTTTAGAAGTATTTTGTATTTTGTATAAGTACGCATTTTGTACAAGTACGCACACTTCCAACGGTGTCTTTACTTGTTTCCTAACAGAACGCCTCTTTGGAAGAAACCCTGGGAGTTACACAGGGCCGCCTGCTGACTGAGGTTGAGGGATACAGGCAAAACATCCGGTCACGCGAGGCTCAGATCGAGACTCTGAAGCAGGAGATCTCCCAGCACCTCATCAACTACCAGGAGCTCATGAACGTCAAAATGGCGCTTGACATCGAAATTGCGGCTTACAGGAAGCTGCTGAATGGGGAGGAAGCAAGGTACAGGCTGCTTCATGGTGTTTTACTTAATATACAATAGATCAACCCATAATCCCACCCTCCCCTGTCGAAACGTAAAACATGGAAACATAATCAACATGTCATTAAACTGGAGTCTCTCTGTCATTGGTGAAACTGAGCTGCCTTCAATGTACGAAGATGTTGTGGGCGAAGAGACAAGGAATAAGCACAGTTCTGTCGTAAATACATACATCTACACAATCATTACTGTGTAATTGTCAAACACCTTTACGTTTATACTCGCAGTTCACTGTTTATTTTTATGTTTTTGAGGTGATTTATTTATCTTAATTTAAAAGCTCTGTACTATCCATTGCAAGGCTCTTCGGCCGCATAGCCATTTCGACCCAAGCCCTGAAACCAGTCGACCCCCCGAAGGAAGCTACACCGACTGAATTTGCCAAGCCTACAGGCAGACCCAAGCGCACAGTGGCAGAGCCGAGTGCAGACCCCGAACCAAGCGAGGACGAGTGAGTGACGACTTCCTTATTGTATAGTGCAGTGAGGAAACAGTCAAAAGGAAATGATTTAAATCTTTTCAAAATGTTACCACAAAAAACAACAACATGACGACCTGATTGAAGCAATGTGTTTGTCCTACTGTATTGTGGTACTTGAAATAAGACTTAAATGCTTACCACGATGACTATCTTTTTCACTCTCTTTGCCCTAGGGTGGCCGAGACAGCCCAGACGGAGGAGCCAGCGGCAGAGCCGACAGAGTGAGACAAGTGGACTATGCCGTTTGGTTACGATGCGAGAATATGTCATGTCATACTTTCATAGCAAGTCTTTAGCATGTTATGTGCTCTAAAAAGTATGGATCTCGGAAGTATTGTTTGCGTCTGCGTTTGTCTTAATAGGAACAATTGTCTTAATCCTCGACGTCTTGTTTATTTTACATATGTACACTACTGCGAGGGGTAGATGTGTGAGTGAATGATAGACGTAACGGGACCACATGCACGCGTGAGTTACGTTTAACACGCTTCATTGCTGTTGGTCTAAAGCTACAATAGTGTGTGTAATTGATTTTAGCACATATAGAAGTATTGAACGTGATGATATAAAGAAAACAAAACAAAACGAATGAATGAATTGAAGGTTTTTCTGAATTGTTCATCACTCGTTATAACCTCTGTAAAACCTATATACAAAATATGACTCCTTGAAAGCAATGTTATGTATAACACAAAAATTGTGGAGAAGTGTGGCGTAGCGGTAGCGTGCTCGACTCGGAATCAAGAGGTCCCAGGTTCGAGTTGTGCCACCGATCTTGTGCCCTTGGGAAAGGCACTTAACACGAATTTCCTCACTAAACTCAAGTGAAAATGAGTATTGTCTTGTCCTGTATTCGTCCTCTGTGTTGATATAACTTGAGTGTGCTGTCATCATGTCTAGTCATGAAATGTTGTAATATAAAAAAAAATAAAAAAAATTAAAAAGGCACTTTTCTAGTCATTTCTTTACAACGTAAGTTGAATCAACCCCACCCCATTATATACTGCCATTATGGGAGTGAAAGGGCAGACATATTTCGCCGTACGAGCGTGGTTGAAATCTCACGCTTGTTATTTTGTTTACATCCCTTCAATGTGTATTCTACGATGGGATCAAATCATCGAATCTTGTGTTTACAGTTTTTGCAATAAGCATAATGTCAGAAATTGATACTGTGTTGAAAATGACAATAGCATCAACAGGGAATGTGAACTCCTGTCCAAAGACCCCCATTACACGTTATATTCTAATTAAAAACAATTCGACATATTTTCATCATCAAAATAGTTCATCATAATGTCATACTTCAAAATTGAATTCCACCAACACCCTACTATTAAAAACTGCCATCTTCCAGTGGCCCCAAATGTAATGTTATGGATCAGTCCGAAAACAAATCCATGCAAAACATTTTTTAATCATTCCTGTCCAAAATCTTCCTAGTTTAAAAATAAGTTAAGTTGGAAGACACCTGCATGACCTACGGGTGACCACGTACGAGTAAATGTCTGATTGCAGCGATGTGAAAACTGTGTCAGACATTTTGCCAAACTTTTTCAGAGCACCGCCATACCCATAGTGAACAATGTCACCCAAAGTCCAATAACCGTTACCTACTCTGCCTAGTCAGACCACTTTCTGCCCACTCAATTGCAGCTAATTATGGCTTCACCACACCACGACGTATTGTTTTCCCTCGTGTTTCTTCTTCTCCTACTTCTCCTTTTCCGCCTTCTCCTGTCATTTCTTTAAATGGATTCAAATTCTTCCTTTTGGGCCCAAATAACATGAAATTTGGCATGAAGGTAGAGTGGCCAAATTATCGGTCATTTTTTTTACAAAATCCGTACATTTTGGGTCCCGGGGACCTGGTATTGCACCTAAATGAACTGAAATTTGATGTGAGTGTGATTTATATAGCTATCAACAACAATTCATTATAACTTTTGGCATGCTCCCCTTTAGAATTGTATAATTTGGGACTTTTGACTGTTTTCAACGCCAAATTTACTGTGTAGGGAAGTATGACTCAGCATAAAGGAATGCAGAGAAACAGCCAATAGGCATGCAGCTTTCGAGATCACTGGGCGGTTGTAATCTTCTTACTGATTGGGTGCTGGGCTGTAATTGGGTTATCTCATTGAACACCTTTACCAGCTATAAGATATTGACAGCTGAACTGCATTCAATTGTTTTTAGAAGGTTTGTCACACTTTCCTGCAATGTGGGGTGTGAACTTTTTTAAATCTTGAATATCAGTTTTCTTCAATCAAATATAAATCCTAACCAATAATGTATATGATGTTAGGTATCCAACTGTTGTATTTTTTAAAAGTTATATATCACTTCATACCATATTTATATTGATGAAAAACATTCTTTTTCCTTGTGTTTCTCCTTCTCCCCCTGCCACTTCGTTAAACGGATTCAACCAAATGGCCTGATGACATTTGCAACGTCCAGATACATGGTGGCATGGGTAGGTAATCGTCGAGCAGATACACGATGGCTTGGCCTTCAAGCAGATACAGGGTGGCATGGATCGTGTCAATCTACATGTTCCAAGGCAGAAGGCATTGGAAGATTCCATTGCTGCACGGGGGTATAGACTTTTGGAACATCGCGTTTTGAACAGGGGTGATTTTTGTGGGAGGGGGACAGGTCCATTTTTTTGGTACGGGGAATGTGGTGAAGCAATTTGCTGCATTTGCTCCAAAGCAAATGCCGGCCTTTCTAGCTTTAGTAAAGATTCATTGTCCGGGCCATTTTGTTCATCCCCGATCATCTGCAAAGAACGACATTTCCCAAGTGCCAACCGGAGTTATCCTAGGACTACACTACAGGTAAGCGCGGGTCTTAAATATGATCACGACAGACGGTGTCCTCTCGAGTCAAGCAACGCTAACACAACGACACCGTTTACAAAAAGAACGAATTTATACGTAAAGCAGAAAGCTGAACTAACGTTACCCCCCGAAAGGCCTAGGGCTTCGGTGTAATTGTGACGTACTCATAAAGCAGAATCCGAATCCCGCGGATGGCCAATGTTTGTAAAACTAATTCTTAACACTGTAGGACCTCCCATGATATAGCCTGGCGTAGAGGCTGTTTGCCAGTGTGACTTTTACAATATATTTGAAGAGATTAGAAGCAAGGACATCCTCATAAAGGATGTTTCTTTCGTCGTTCCCTAAATTGACCACAGGTTTATAAATAATATGTAACTCAATCCATGTGTCCCGACGTAGCCGTAACATGTTTCAAAGTTGTCCACCCATTCACATTACATTTCGTCTAGCTATAGCATCACTTTCAATCGTCTGTCTCTAGTTTAACAAACAGTAAGAGAAATTAGTCAATGACACAAAGGCTTAGAGTCTATCAAAGCGATGTTTATTTGTCTCACTCTTCTTGCACTTTATCAGTCGCTACACATGCATACATTTCTTGACCTTCATCATTGCTACATGTAACATTTGGCATGGTCGACAAAGTTTGTTGGAGATGACCATCTTCCAAATGAATAAAGCTCTGTGGATGGTCATAAGAATGTAGCGGGCTGCTATAGTACACAGTGACGTAATGCGTGATGTGACTAGCATTGGCGACTAGTCAACTTTTGGACAATAACAAACAGGTCTAGTTTCTAAAAGCATCTATAGATATACGGTAGATACAATGCAATTCATCGACCACTCCAACTGGTAGAGACTTGCTTTCGATCGTGACCTCACGGCTGTTGACCTCGGGATAAAGTTCAGGCCCTGACCTGAGTGAAGACCCTGTCACAAGAAAAGGGTTCACAAAAGACCATAGTAAGAAACTGGAACACATGATGAAGTAGATCAATATCTATATCGCAAATGTAAACTGGCCCAATCTTTACCTCTATCAAAACTTCATACAGAAACATCTTAGCATAAGGGATCATTGATAATAGATAAGGGAATCTAGATAAGGGCCTCCAACCATCATTGAACCGGTGCGGGGACCTTTGCAGACTACTACCCGCCTTTGACCCGGCTAAATTGATGGCCGTTACGTTGTTGGCGTCAATGCTTTAACATCAGAAAAATAGTAGAATTCTACATCTTTTATGTAAGATCAAGTATTGCACAACCTTTTGAAGATATGTACTTGGTCACCTTATCAATCAACTGTTAAAATCACCTCCGACCAGTAAGGCAAGCGACGCATTTTACTTGGTAAGATAATGACTCAGTCACCCAAAACAATACTTCCGTACCCGGAAGTAACCATGGAAACAGCCCCACCTGTCAGTGATCTCCTCCCCGTCCAGCAGCTTCCTGTAGGTCGCGATCTCCACGTCCAGCGCCATCTTGATGCTCATGAGCTCCTGGTACTCCACGGAGTGCTGAGTCATCTCCGACTTCATCCTGTCGATCTGAGCCTGAAGCTCGCTGATAGCGGCCTTGAACTCCGTAATCTCCCTCTGTGTGCGGGCCTCTGTTTCCGCGATGTTAGCCTCCAGGGACCCGGACTATGGTAGAACAATGACAATCTTTATTACACAATTTTACTTCACTGGGCGGAATATAGGTTGCAGCAAAAGTTGTACAAAGTTGATGGATGCAATGTACATTTAGCTAACATTAACATAAATTCAAATTTTCCTCGCTTTTAAAAATAAAACAAACACAAACGATTTGCGTGTGTGTACCTGTGTATGTTTATATACGTGTTGAAAACTACAGTTCAACCTTGATTCATATCTAACCTTGCTCTTCAAGGCCTCCGTCTCGGTGATGATGGACTGCAGCGTCCTCTTCAGGCCGGCCAGCTCGGACCGGGCGGCTGCCAGAGCCTGGTTATCCGACTCCCGCTGCTGGGACATCGCGCTGAACTGGAGAAATGAAACAACATCAACATTAACGTCTTTTCGAATGAAAGCTCATCTGTGTTGGTAGAATCCATGAAGTTTAAGCTTGTTCCAACACAAGGAAAGAACTCACCATAAATTTTCGGTTGATCATGTCAACCTTTGTCAGATGTGTGATGCAATCACTGACTTTTCCGGAAGTCGGAATTATGTGACAAGTTCATCTGGCCTTAGCTTTTGACATACACAAAACGCAGCACAGGTCTACAGCACATCAAAACGATGAACCCATTCTAACCTTGCCCTTGTACTTGTTCTCCGCCTCCTCCCTGTTGGCGCGGCCCATGATCTCGTACTGCACGCGGATCTCACGCAGAGTCTCGCTCAGGTCCGGTCCGGAGATGACCGGAGCTTCAGTGTCCGCAATGGCCATAGTCTGGGTCAACTGAGACTGGACCTTACGTGTCTCCTGGAAGCGAAACAAATTCATGTTTAAGAAACAAACATGCCTGCATACAGCCTCATCTGCTGATTTAGAAGAAAACGATCTTCAATATTTTTTCGTCGTTTCGTTTTTCAGACGTTACAAAATTGTAACAGAATCTGCCTGTCAAAAATCAGATTATACAGCTAAAGAAGACTGCATGTAGCAAACCTACAAATACAGACTGGCCCTTGATGTGGTACCATTGTCTCTGGAGACAGGCGGTTGACATGCAACAAAACCTAAAATCAAGTCTATACCGATATTCCGTTCTATCAGAGTTTTCTTCCGATTTCGACAGGCTCACCTCCTCCCAGACCCTCTTGGAGAACTCAATCTCCTCCTGTATCGTGGTCAGCTTGTTTTCCCAGCCAACACGCTCCACAGTTGCCGCGTCCACCTCCTACGAAACATACATAACACAACGAGTACTCAAAAATACCAAATCGCAAACAGTTTAATATGTCCACATTGTGTAATGAGGATATACTGAAAAGAGAAGACTCACCTTCTTGACCGATGCCAGTTCTGTCCTCACCGCGGTGGTAGCGGCAGTCTCGGCCTCACACCTGTCCAGGGATCAAAACGAGAAAAACGGTTGAGTCATATATGTCTATTTGTGTGTCACGACAGTATGAATCAACAGACAAAGCAGGCAAATTTCCTTGTCTACGAAATCGGTTGATGGAAAGATCTTTGAAATCTTTGATCGCTTAGCCTCTGGTATAAAGGATGTTACCTAGCCTGCCACTCCGCCGACTTCCCCTGCCAGCTGGCGTTCTCGGCATCCAGCTGAGCCTTCTCTCGAGTCAGCTGGTCCACCAGAGCCCGCAGCTCCCTCAGCTCCGCCTCGTACAGCTCGCAGATGGCCGACTCTTCCCGCGCCGACACGATCCTGAGCTGGGTCGTCAGCCTGGTGTTTCGTTCCTGCAGGGAGCGCACCTTCTCGATGTAGCCGGCGAAGCGATCGTTGAGAATGATGAGCTGGCTCTTCTCGCTGGTGCGGGCCGTCCTGGCGTCGGTGAGAGACTGCAGCGCTCCTTCCGTGGCGTATTTTGCAACGGCCTTGCCGCCGCCGACTCCAGCTCGTGATCCCTTGGTGGCCATGGCGTACCTTTAGAGCTTCGACCCTGTCTTCAGTTTGATACTGGCTTCTCAGCGAGACTCGCTCAGTACCGGTGCTCTCTGTTCTGTGGCTTTTAACCTTATGACATGGTCACCTCCTGCCAATCTGCTAAGCCCACGAAGCTCGCTATTGGTGAACGGAGTCGGTCCAGATTCTAAAAGAAAACACCGGATAGTTTACTAGGTCCATCCGTGTTTACCGAGGACATATCAGACCTCAATGTGTCAGGACGTCACAGGTTCACAACCTGTCGTTATAACCAATGGCTTCATATAGAAAGTTATGTGTCAACGTCTGCGCCCTACAATATGTAGGGCAATCTAATATTTGAGGGAAAACAAACTGGAAGCTAGAATATGCTTCAGAAGTGCTTTGACCTTATTTGTTTCCGAGCTTATTCGGATATTACATCTCTTACATAATTCAGTGACGGTTTATTTGTATCTCAGTGGTCATCCGCAGGTCAGTGTCTGCGTAGAATTTTCCTTGGTCCATTTTGGTATCGACATGCCCATATAAGGATAATTTACGGGGTCTGTTACATGCTACCAGAAAGGACGAAGCGAATGTATATATGGCCTAAAGTTTTGTTAACAACAAATTAATATCAAGCCTTTCTGTTCACCTGTACTAAATGTTCATTATTTTTCTGGGCATGTGGGAGGAGAAGGCTGCCTGGCAGACTCGCTTGCAGAATACTGAAGTTACAAAGCTGAATTATGAACCCTGTGGACATTTTGATTGGTCGTCATAACTCATGAATACTTCATCGACTTGAATCTTATGAGAAATTTTGGGGTGAAACTTACGCTGTTGTATTTCATAGGTTCAATATAGGTAGCTTTGTATGATTATTTCTGACCATCGTAACTACATCTGTGCAAATATGGGCTTAGAACTAACCAGAACTTACAAGTCACATAACTCTGATCTGATATCTAATTATCATTTGATGCAATGCCGGTTTCAAGTTGTGGGACGTCTTGATTAAAATTGAGGAAGTCCCAAAGACAACAGAAGATAGTTTCTCTGGGTGGGTGCTCAGTGATTATGAGGGTGATAAACGACTCCAAAGATATATTTCAATTCTTGAAGAGGTGTTCATACATTTTGTAAGTCAGCAAAATTGAAGCCAGAACAGTAGCTCTCTGTCCAAAAGCTGGGCCATAGTAAATTGTTAAACCGAAGTTCCATAGTTGTACAGGTTAGTACCTGGTACACGAACATATTAACTTGGTAATAGGCCGATTTCATGGACCCTCCTACTTTGGTACAAAAAATACAAATGTTAAACAAACACGTAGATATTTTACTGAGGAGCGCGCTCGTTTACTCTTTGGCTAAGGCCACGGTCACATTTCCAAGCCGGGGCCCGGCCGGGTTGTTAGCATGGACGAAAAAGAAACAATTTGTACAAAGAGTATACACAAATAGTGCTCAAGGTTAATTTTCTAAAACTTTTTTTGTGTTTTGCTGTCTCATATCATAATTTTCGTTCCAAACGACTGCCCGCCCGGGCCCCGGGTTGGGAAATGTGACCGCGCCTTAAAGCGCTCATTTCTAGACAGTCAGGATCGTTTTATAAGAGTGCAGGTGCATTGCTTCATATTCATCATCTGTCTTATTCAAGACTTTACTGAAACGTGGAGTAATGCAATTAGCAACGTGGGCAAATCTGGTTTCCATACATTTATTTTTGAAGCATTACATAAGTTAAGTGCTTAACATTTTTAGGCATCATGGCAAAAATTCACCAATTCATAGACTGCATCTACTATAGACATCAAACATTTACTTACCCTACATACTATGGTATTGGAATAACAGGAACCTAAAATATCCATGTTACTGTCCTGAACTTTTAGATACCCCTCGTCTTTAAATGATGGGAAATGATATTCAAAGATCAAAGATTAGAAACAGAAGCATGAAATAATAAAACTCTAGTTTGGAATATTTGCGAAGGACAATACATTTGTATAGCTCTGCACTCGGCTATTCCAAGATCGGGGTGTAGCAAATGCATCCTACGTCGTTACACTACTGAGCTGTAGTGTCCTGTGATATCCGTATAGTGCACATTGTGGAGTAATGCATGTAAAGCAGTGTAAGCGAGCGCAGCTAAACCGTCTAACACTATCCAAAGTCTACAAAGCTTCTTGCATGTTATCACTTGTAGTACATGTATACATTGTTACGTTAAGTACTGAAAGTGGAAAGATGCGAAACTTTAAAAAAAATGGTCCAGATGCAACACTCTGGTACACCCTGATCTTGATGTTATAGAGCATTAAGAAAATTCTGCTCAAAAATTAATCATGATATTTTCAAGTTCCCACAGCCAGGGGTAGAGGGTTATTGAGAGGTCACTGACAGCAATTTACTCTAAATTCTTTCGTAAACGAAGATGAATTTTTCTCTATCTTATAAGTTCATAAATGGAAGGCTAGCTGTAATTCACGTTTGATATTTGATTGCCCCAAATAACTAGGCTATGGAATGTCTTGTGGCTTCCTCAGCACTTGCACAGAGACCATCTCGTAGCCATGTACACAACGGCTGGCCAATGATATGCCTTTCTGACCAAATGATGGACAGGGAGTGATTACTCTGATGAGAATAAATCTGGAAGGCTCGAACCCTGATATCCACAGCCTACCAGTCCGTGGTAAGACCGTCCAGATTCCGGCAGCCAGTTCCAAGCCTGTTCGAAACGCACACCAGGAAACATGGCCACTCTCACCGCTGAGACACAGGAGCTCTCCACCCTCAACGGCCGCTTCGCCGCCTACACCGAAAGGGTGCACGCCCTGCAGGAGAGCAATGCCTCGCTGGAGGCCCAGATCCAGGCCGCCCAGGCCAGAGCCGTCCCCTGCAACCACGGGACGTACCAGGGGATGCTGGCGGCACTGCGGGCTCAGGTGGACAGCCTGTCGAATGACAAGGCCCAGGTGGAGGTCGAGAGGAACAGCTGGCAGGCACAGGCCGAGGAGTGGCAGGGGAAGTACGTTATGTCATTGCTTTTAAATGTAAAGACAGTTTTTAACTTCATAGTTTCAGCACCTAACCTTTATCATAAATGCTAATTAATGTCCAAGAAGATCTCTAGACCCATGTGCATCAAGATAACAAGATACGCAGCCCCTTGGTTCCACGTGTCTCTTGCAAAAGAGGGTTTGCGTATTCGGGGCTAGTTGGGACAGTGGCCAGATTCGCGTGTGTCGGGAACGGGCTATCACTGGCTAGTGAGTAGCTCATAAGTCTGGTTCCCAGGGCACCAAAGAACCAAATTTGGTGACGATGGCAGCCATGAAAACATTTGTGTCAGATTTAAATGGGTATTAGTCTTCCGTTCTGTAGCAGATTCTATAGAGATCAATTGGATACAAGCTTGTCCCCGCCGGATTTACTTGGAGAATTTAGCTAACAGCCTCCTATAGTGCATTGATCAGCGTGGTTGGATTCAAGAATGTTTGGTTGCTGTGTGTTTAGAAGGCGTTACTTGTGGATGGGTTTTGTCTAAGAGTGGCACAAAGTTGCTGGGAATTGACTGGGGTTTATGGTCCTGGTTTTGATACAGGGCCGAGTATGAGATGTCTGTGCGCCCCGGGCTGCAGGCTGAGATCGAGACGAACAGGGTGGTAAGTATACCTCTAGCTCTACTCAAGTCAAAGTTGTTTTATTCTAGTTAATAGGCTTCGTTTCTCCGTCTGCCTGAACCTTAGTGTCTAGGTACAGGTGAGCTTTACCGAATTTGTGGGAAGATTGTGTATTGTTTCACCAATACATCACAGTTGCGATAACGTAATACTGTAGGAATCAACATCAAATAAAAGGCTTGCTCTTCTGGATAAAAGTGAGAGAGCTTAAATATTCATGAACTAAAGGATGCTTAAAATAAAGAATAATGTTTCAGGAACTGCAAGCCATAAATGCAGCTCGAGTTGGCTTTGAGGGCAGAACGGCGGCCGCTCAGGAGGAGATCAACGCCTTGAGGCAGAGCCACGCCGAGGTGAGCATGTCTGTCACAGTCTGTGACACCAATGTGTCTATTTCTATATCATGTTACACAACTATACACCGATGGCGTTTTTTTTACATTTTACATTCGAAATTCTGTGTTTTACCCTTCAACTATCCTTCGGGCATGAGTTTACAGTACAGTTTGACTTGTATTATCAATGTGCAATAATAGTTAACTATTGGCACATCTTACAGCAAGTAGCTGGCCTACGGGAAGAGTTGGCTGCAACTGTGACTAGGGTGGAGTCTCTGCAGTACGTGGTGACGGGCCCAGACCTGAGCGACACCCTGAGGGAGATCCGTGAACAGTACGAGGCCATGAGCCAGGCGAACAGGCAGGATGCTGAGGCCAAGTACAGGCAGAGGGTAAGAAAAGAAATAAATAAAATAAATTGATAACCTCTTTTCTGAGAATGAACATAGTAGCAAAAAATATATCGAGCATCCTTAATTGATAGCGTTCACAACAATTAGAGTTACATTTAGATATAAAAGTCGTCATTTCATGTACATGTAGTATGACCAGCCATCATTGCGAACCTATCTATCTTTTGTGTAATGTTGCAGGCCAATCTTTAATGATGCAGGTACATGTCTAATGGTCTAACGATGTCTTCAACACGCTGTACGAAATTCTAAAGTAGTAGTTTCGAAGGATTACACTCAACTTTTTTATTATCATGTAGTACATAAATGGCTCAAACAATACAAGAAATGACATAATATTATACATGCTACCACACGTACCTGACAGTTTGTCTTTCTGACTTAAGTTTGCGGAGATTGCCCAGCAGCGGGAGGCAGCCAGCGAGGCTCTGGCAGCCGCCAGGGCAGAAATTGCTGGATTCCACAAGCAAATCCACGCTCAAAGGGCGGAGGCAGAGACTTGGAGGAGCAAGGTGAGAATTAAATATGCATAAGAGCTTGCTTTCGGGGAATGAATTTGATTTGTTTTAGGACAAAACCTAACAAGCACTTTAACACACATATATATACGCCGATATCATACATGTACAGTCATAACGCAAATCCATACATTGACCTTAAAGTACGCATTTTGTACAAGTACGCACACTTCCAACGGTGTCTTTACTTGTTTCCTAACAGAACGCCTCTTTGGAAGAAACCCTGGGAGTTACACAGGGCCGCCTGCTGACTGAGGTTGAAGGATACAGGCAAAACATCCGGTCACGCGAGGCTCAGATCGAGACTCTGAAGCAGGAGATCTCCCAGCACCTCATCAACTACCAGGAGCTCATGAACGTCAAAATGGCGCTTGACTTGGAAATTGCGGCTTACAGGAAGCTGCTGGATGGGGAGGAAGTGAGGTAAAGACACAGTTTCAAGGTGTTTTATATCAATATACAATAGATCAATCCATAACCCCGCCCATCCCTGTCGAAACGTAAATGTGAAAACAAAAACGCATCAAATGTCATCAACCTGGAGTCACTCTGTCATTGGTCGAACCAGCTGCCTGCATGAAGCTGTTGTAGGGGAAGAAACAAGGAATGAGCACAGTTCTATCGTAAATACATACTGGTATGTATTTGTATGCGAATTGTAATTTGTCCCAGTGCATTGCAGTCCTTGTATTTCAGACTTAACTACTAACCGTTACTTCTTTTCTCTTAATTTGTTCCTTAGGCTGTCTGCTCTGTGAGGTCCGGAAAGCCCAGATGGCCCAAACAGTGCCAACACAGTGAGACAAGTTGACATGCCCTGCAAGAACGTTACGACGCGCGAATATGATTTCATAGCAAGTCCCTCAGTTTTAACATTTGGTGTGATATAAAACGTATAGATGTTTTCTTCCGGGTACGTAGTTATTGTTTTAGACGACGAGTTGTGTCATTGTTTGTCCTAATATCTTCTTGGGATCATGGGCGGGAGTTAATTTTGTCAGTTGATTGATAAAGAGGTCACGTCACGAAACTCAACATACTTCACGAAAGGCAAACAAAAAACAGTACCTCGTGCAACTGGACATGATATCTACCTATACTACCTATACTTCACGAAATCTCCGATCCCTGTTTGTTTTAGGGTGTGTTACGATATAGCGTAGAAAGCATGTTTCTGAGTTACGTATAGACTGCAATTAAGAGCGGTTAGGTGCACAAACAGCTACGGTGTACGTGTGAATGACAGACGCAAAGAAGCTGAGTACCATGTACCATGTACATTTGTATGTGATATTAGCACACCTCTGCACCCTAGATCTTGGTCTAAAACTACTGTAGTATTCTAGTTGATTTAGGCAAATATATACACACACAACGTAATAAAAGCAAGCAAGAAAGAAAATGAGTTTGTGCTTTTTTCTGAGTGTTTCTTTACGTATGTTAATGTCTACACTGACTTTAACAAACCCCGTGTTTTGAAAGGTCACCATCATGTCCCTGACAGGGAGACACCGACAAATATACAGTTCCATGTGAATTTTGGAACCGGAAGATGTTTAGGACTGGCTGACATGTACGTATACATTTACATGTACTGTCACTTTAGTACTGAGTAATAGGAAAGATAAACTTCATGCCCGAGACTTGACACGTTTCTTTTCCCTTTATTCTGTATTTTATTATCAGAATGTGGTAATCTGCAATCTGTAGCCTCTCAGCCGACTATGACGTCATTAGGCATGTCTATATCCACGGTCCTCGGCCCGTCTCCAGGTGACAGGTAGAAGGTCTTGGTGGTCGCCACCTGGCCATGGAACTTCACTGTCACCTCGTAGTTGCCATGGAAACCACGGAAGTCGAACTCCTGCCCAGCTGAGGTGGTGGTGCCGTGATGTAGGGACAGGTTGGTCCGCCAGTCGGTGAGAACCAGCTGCTGCCAGCGGCGGCCCGCCTCGTTGACCTATATGTTGATTCAAACATGAACAGTTCGTTATGAAGAAAAAAAGTATATCAATTGCTATTTACTCGATCAAGGTACTGAAGTGAAACCAATAGCGTTTTCCGATATCAACATATATATCAACAAAAATAGACAACCTATGAAGATAAAGCTTGAATAAAGCACAGGCTAAGACAAAAAGACCAAAGTAAGTGACTCCATTTATGTCATTTGGCACTCCACCTGCACGTTGTCGCCATTGGCCAGAGCACATTGCGGGTCGTAGTGCGCCCCGTCCCAGTAGCCCCAAAGAATGACACCCTCCACGGCCGGATGGCTGAAGGCGACCCGCAAGGCGTCCTCGTAACCTGCCGCTCTCTCCAGCTCGTCTGGTTCGGCTACGGTCAGCTCCGTCACCCAGATTGACAGACCGGCAGTGGCCAGAAGGTCCAAGCGGCTCTGCAAAACAGCCATAATCATTCCCAAATATCCCGTACAAAGATATTGTACTGCATCAAAAACGTGCTTTATTCTTCTCGCCACCAGCAAAAATCTGTGATTTACTGCTAATTTGAATGCAACGATATTTTTCACAAGTTCCTTTTGCAGCCAGCATAGGTTGTCCTTTGGCGGCATCCTGTCTTACATGTAGCTGTTTGAATTTTAGTCTTCAATGGTAGCCATAGATAAATCTGCCGTAATGCTCATACATTTTGAAGCAAAATCTAATATAAAAGGGGGTTGTCAAGAACAAACTAGGTTTTCATAAGTGAAGGTGTCATAAAAATAGGAAGCAGTGAAACTGTGACGTACTTTGAGAAGGTCGGGGTCAGGACGTCCCGTGAAGTGACCCTGAGCTCCGATCGCGTCGACTGGAGCTCCGTTAGCGAGAAACTCCTCCGCCTGGTGCACGTACGCCTGTGGAAAGGACAATGACAGTCTTTGAATGTCACTTGAATGCAACGTCAAGCTGTAGAGTTTCATTTCAAATATAAAGGATTTGTAACATGTGGCTCATTCCAATGTAACAATGATTTACAAATGTACAAGATAAAAGGCATGTTCTCTCGTGATGTCATTGCCATTGTCAACAATCGGACAGGTGGAATCAATTAATCCTACACAAGTCCTAGTGACAAGGCAGTATACCATCAGTCAAGTAGTGTGCATTATCTTTGGTGACTAAAGCTTAAAGGATATTGCTTTGCCAATAGGCTACGTAGGATCTATTTGGAGATTAGAGGAATTTATTTTTTCCCGCCACGTACATGTTGATGCTCAAATGTTGTGTAAAAGTCTACATCTCAATCATTCTCAGGAAGGAATAGTTGGTGATGATAAGACATGTAGCTGCCCTGACCTGTGTCATCGCCCCGCTGTTGATGACTCCGTAGTCGTTCAGGAAGAGTTTGGCGCCAGGATCCTTCTCCTTCACCTTCTGGAACATCTCGTACCGGATCTGCGGGTTTCCCGTTTTCTCCACGAAGAAGTTTCCGTGCAGCATCTCGTTATTCACGTCCCAATGCTGCAACCTGGCAAAACGAGAGGACAGAAATGATTTATCACTTATTGGTTAGTGAAGTCCTGCATCATATATTTTGTAGCAAAAGCTCAAGTGTCGCGATGATTAATGGAAGATGACCTGACTTCTGTAGCTAACACGACTTTGGATAAATTATTGAAACAACACGGTTTACCTCCCAGCATATCGGCCCACCACATCATCAACCCTTTTCCAGCACTTTTGCTCCAGCTCCAACCCGGAGTACGCCGGCAGCCAGGCGGGAACATGTGAGACTCCGGCTCCCCAGAAAACACAGTGCCCACGTATCGGGATCCTGGCCGGAAATTTTTTCATAAATGAATGATCAGACGCGTATCAGCATTTCATGTAAGTTGCATCCCTTTTGCAGTTCTTAAGAAAGAGTAAAAATGTTAATAATTGATTAATTATAATTTCCATATACAGGTTGTCACATGTTGTTTGTTCAGACTAGTAATCTCAAATATTGCGTTAAGTATGCTTAATGTCCTGTATTATATGCCCTTAAAATATCTTACCCTCGGCTTTCCAGCAGTTCAATGGTTGCGTCTGCCAGGTCGAATCTCATCTGTCCCTGTGGATTTTTGAAAATGCACAGATATATCAGAGACAGTACAACAGGCGATCAGTTGTTACTATGACGGCTATAGCATGCATGGTTTTTCATTCATGTTATATCGTGCGGCGACGCAAACGTTTACATAGTTTATCGGGTATGACATGGACAAATTCGGGCCTTTTTACCTTCGCCAAAAAGGTAATGTTTTTGGTAGTATTCGCATGCATGTATGGAAGTCTTGATAACACATCGAAATGATTAGATTTTGGTCTCCCTACCTGTCTGTGTCAACATCAAAACTTAATCAACCTTTTAGTCACCTCATTCCATTCGTTCTGCCTCCACTTGAGATTGTTCTCTAGCACGGCCCACTCGAAGTTGTTGAAGAAGAAGTCCGTATAGAGACTGTTACTGGGCATCTCCCAGGCACTGACGGACGTACCGAAGGCAAAGTGGGACCTGGTCTGAGCTACCTGCCATACACCGGAGCAAAGCGACAACGTTAACACTCACACAATCTAGATATTTCACAGGGCGGACATGACATGGTGTATAAAGTTTACAACATTGGAGTTTGAACATTGAAATAAGAAGGGCATCAGACTGATTTGATTGTAACTCCAAAATTGCATGTTTTGTTCAACAAAGGCTCCCCATATCTAGCACTAGCTTAAAAGCTTTTCTTCAAAACCCTCATAGTGGAATGCTTGAATGAAGCCACACACGTTCTATTGGAGATACTACATGACATGCAGAACCAGATGTACACATCCTACCTCCACTGTGATGCCATGTGCGTTCGGTGCGTTGACCCTATAAAGATAAAGCATCAATTCGAATTTTGCGAACAGACAACAGATGTCATGGGTTACATTAACACTACAAACAAAAGACCCAATCCGGCAATCGCACAAATAAATTTGTATCTATCTTTAGTAGGAATATTAAAGCTACTGCAACCACATAAAATAAGATAGACATCAAAGATTTTGAATTCCCGAAAGTTGATATAGTTTACGTAATCAATTATATCATACAATGCAATATAACTATTACTCATGCAGATAGATGCTTCATACATTACCGATCGACCTCAAAAATCTTTCAATCAGGTGAAACCCAATTTCCACGGACTCATGTAGTAACCCATACATACAAATCTTCAATAAATTAGCGCCATCCATAACAATATTTCCGTCCCGGAAGTAAAAAAAAATCATTTCCCACCTGAGCTTGACGTCTCTCTTGCGGATCTGTTCTATCCGCGCGTCTGCCTCAGACTTCCAGTCGGTGGTGGGAGACACGAACTCCTTCAAGGAAGCGTCGTCCACAAGGAAGCGGATCTCGCCCGGTGGTCCCTCCAAAAACAGCCGGATGTTACTCACGGTGTTGCCGTAGTCTGAAATAGATCCATTGAAGAAAGAGAAACTCGTTATGAATTACTCACAGGGCGGAAACCAGAACATTTTTATTTAAAATTTGTATATGTCTGACTACATTCTATTGATATTGTTAAGTTATAATGATGTTGTCCAACAATGTTCTACCGGTAATGACGCAGTGTAACACGTGTTTTATGTGTCACATACACGTGTTTTATGTGACACGTTGAACAGACATAACCACTGCTCACCCGGAATGGTGTAATCCCCACCGAGCTTCTTCCAGCCATCCTGAGCAGACATCCAGCTTCCAGCAACTTGAAGCCAAACGTCAGAATTCCCGTCTAATTGAAAATGGGTGATTGTGTGGAGTTATTTGAATCTTCAAACAGCATCTTCCTGGTGTATTGCCTCATATGATCACAACCCTCTATGCATACATTGTACTGAAAAGCTCAACTGACCGTTGACTAAACGTCGTATGAGAATGGTCGTAAGAACACGCCTCCCTCGGGTGGCATTGAACTAGATACCACGAGAAAAAAGAAAGAGGGGAGCCCAACAAATGACATGGAAGAAACAGCTATAAGAAGACCGATAGGAGAGCGAGAAGGCAAGGCTCATGACAGAATATAGTGGAAAGCAGTGGTGGCCCGCTTAGTTGACACATGGTGAAGATGATGGTGAGAATGTTGAGAAACTACAAAGACGAAGGTCTCCTCCTCACCATTAAACGTCACGTGTAGTTTCGCCATGAGCGGGTAAGGCGTGTCTCCGCCATCAAGCAACTTGACCTGGATGCTGAACTGGTAGTTATGTCCGCCTTTGACCTTTGACCCCCAGGCCATGTTCTGAGAAGGACCGGCCCATGATGCACTCCTAGTCGATATAAGGTTTGTTGAAGGTATCATCTTACTACGAGAATCTATCTAGAGTTTTTCGTTATTAAAATCGAAATTAAAATTGGAATTGAATTCAATGGAAGGGCCTCTAACAATCAATGTTCATATCCCTATGGTCGTTTAATGCACGATCACATTCATCGTAGGACGTGGTAGATGTCGTACATGTTAAGTATTTGAGTAGTCGACAGAACCAACCGCCGACATAAATCCTAGACAGCTTTTTCCGTAACAACATAGCTTCATTTTGTTCCGCATATGCATGGCTATCTGAAGAAAGCCCCCAGGTTGCTACCATACAGTTATCATATATGACCAATGTGACTGCGAGTTCCACGGTACCTATCTTGAGCCAGCATGCACGAAGTTCCGCTGTAACTGTCTGCCGTGAAGTAGACTCCGGTACACCCGGAACATCGCCAGAAGTCCAGCAACGACTCGAATCCTGGGTTGGAGAGCAGCTCCGAGCCTGTCTGGAAATCATAAAACAGAAATCATTTCATAAGCTGTATACAATATATGTTTATCTCAGATGCGTTGTAAGAATCACACAACAAACTGTCACTACTTGTGTAGTTGTATTTTCTATGGTACTGGGCATATTCTAAATGAATATGATATTAGTGGTACACTCTTTACAAATTGTAATTCAAATCTTCAAAAATTGAAGTAAACAAAGTATCGACGGTGCCCACACCGGCCTCAGTCAGAGAAGACCTGTCCACGAGTAGGTCGATCTCATGCGGAGGTCCCTCCACGTACAGCCGCATGGACGTCACTGGTTTGTCGTAAACTAAGAGGCAAAGGCATGAGGGAAAAACGTGGTCCAACACTTAGTGTCACCTAGCTTCACCGTGAACCAGTAACACCTAGCTTCAGTGCAGTGCACAGTGAACCAGTAACACCTAGCTTCAGTGCAGAATGACAGATAATAATCGAATGTCAGCTTTTATTAAACAAGTAGTTGTGAATAAAGAACATAGTCATGTTAGGATAATGTGTCTAAATTATCCCCTTCATGGATAATCCCTCTACATGTACATTAGCCTTAACAATCAGACTAAATGTTTACCGACACTAACCTGGTACAGTCCATGTGGCGGCTACCTGCTGCCAGCCGTCCGTCTGACTCACGGCGCTCAGAGTCGCGATCTGCCGGTGGAAGGTCTCTCCGTCTGCAACATTACCAATAGATCATGTAACATATATATCAAGTAACATACACGTATATCATGTGAACTGGCATATATACTTCTCAGATCAGGCGACATATATCACGTAACATGCACGTATATACAGTATGTTAACTGGTATATAAGCTTGTCAACAAAGGCAACACATAAAAGGAAACATATGTCTGGTAATATTTCTTAGCATGAATATTACCAGATATATGTATTTCTCATATAAGGAGACGTATATATGAAGCTCACCAGAATACGTTGTTTGCACGGTCACTTTGACTGGATGTTTGACGTCACCACCCGACATCAGCTGCACGTAGATCTGGAAGTCGTACGTCCGGTCAGAGATGACGTCACTTCCATACAGAAGGTCGTACGAAGGCCCAGCCCAGGCACCCCGTCTGGTTAGCAAATAAACAAATATAATATCTGGTACTGTATGTTATACAATTCAGCAGTATTTCTGAATACGTTATGAGCGATAATTGTTATGAGATCTAACTGGTGCCATGGCATGGTATTGGCTGCTTCATAACATAAATGATAAATTTTACCAAGTAAACTGACGTAACATGATAATATGATTATACGTAATAAGACAACCATCTTGAGCTATGTTGACTCACGATTTTTTGTCAATTAGAGTTAGTTGCATGTGTCTGCATATCTCTATAATTTTGTTACATACGCCAAGAGAAAATTATCCAACATAAAATTATCCAAGGTAATTAAAAAAAAAGTATACAGCAGCCACGAACAGAATGTTAAACTATATGATTAACAACATCTTTAACGGTGAGACAGTGCCACAGCCAGATATAATAATGCTGTGAACTAGCCATATGTTCAGTCTTTCACTAAGTAAATAATGTTTAATTTCTGCCTTGGGTGTGCTGCACAATCAACAATGTGAAACGTTTCAACACAAATCAAATATGGCACATTTAGGACTTATATCTGAAGCGGATTATATCTTAAGATGGACTGATATCGTAGTGTTGCAAAATTGCGCCCTGTTGCCTCATTTGCCTGCTTTATCTTGATCTACACCCACCTCTGACTTGCCCGCATACTCACAGTCCCCTCCACCTTGTCGTGCCCGTACTGTTCCCCCGTGCAGCTCGAGCAGTACCAGTTGTCCGGACCAAGCGGGGCCTCAAAACCGGCATTACGGAATATTTCTCCCCTAACTTCAAACAGACAATTAAGCACGGTCCATAGAGTCACGGTGCTGAAACAGACGACACGAAACATGTTTACTGGTAGATAGGTCGACTCCACACGCAACGTCACGAGGTTCAAATGGTACTCGTAGTTTGCGCAAGGTGCCGTAATTGGCAACGGAAAACAAAATGGCTGGACCCCGTGCTTGCTTCTCTCTTCTTGATCACACATACACACAACACATACTTGATCATATCATACGTTTTTAAACGTACACAGGCCTCATAATGACCTCTGTACTTTTCGTTTCGGAATACAAACGTTTATACATGTTTTAAACCTGAACTCTTTGAACTAACACGAATACCATACTAGTTTCTCCATCTCTGTTGTTAGCTACGTTGACTGTAAGTAGCTCTTTCCATCTTGTTCATTAGATAACCACTGACACCTTGTATAAAGAATAATTTTTCAACATCCTGTACGTGAAACATAGTTTTCATTTAACTGTGACCAAAGTGGTGTTGACTCACGTTTGGGGCAAGCTGCACGTAATAACGTTATATGTACCATGTTTGGTTATGCTGATCCAACAGTTATGTAAGTGAAAGGTAGGCAACAGGTTTCATTTATCAGTACGATAGGAAGTACCTATTTACTGAGTCGAGATAAATACTGCAATATTTAGCTGATATTGCTTTTACTATTTGCCAGTTTGGATTATAAATACACGCGAACGAAGCTACAGCGATCTGAAAAACATTGTGGTGACCTGCTGCTAGTGAAATTGCCTCCGTTCACACCATG